TGCTTCACAATTGTTTTTAAATTACCTTAAAAGCCATCTATAGAAATTGTTTGTCGGTCTGTCAGTCTGTTGATCTCTCTCTCTCTTTCTGTCTATCCAGGAGAATAAATCCTTATGCCTGGTTATGACTATTTTTAGGACAAGTTCATTTCAGTCACAGCCAGTAACACCCATAAGAGAAACCGCAGCCATGACACCCCTGGGAATCTCACTGACTCCTCTCAACGAGCCTAAGGTGGTTCCTAAGAGAGGTATTATCACCAGAGTTGGGAATGCATCCTGGAGCTGCAAATTCCGAAAATGAAGGTATGCTTCATTTGGTACAGTAGTTTATAGCTTTTGTGAGGTTTCGGTATTACCTGGGTGTAAGCCTGGTAACTTCCTGTTATTTTATAGCACCAGCATAATCAGCATAATCAAACCGTATCTCCAGTGTGGTTCTTTTTTTTTTTTTTTTAAAGATTTATTTATTGATTGATTGATTGATACATACAAGCACTGGGTACTGTTAGAAGTGCGGGAGGGAGAGAGAATTCACCAGAGCCAGAGCGGGGAGCAGAGCAGGCAGAAGGACCGAAGCACACTGCTGAGGGGAGCAGCGGGCGGCAGGAGAGGTCTGCGCGCCATGCGGGACCCTCCTCCCGAGGCCGGGGAGCAGCCGGGGATTGAACCGGCGCTGCAGAGACTGCCGGCAGCTTCCCAACCCAGTGCTCAACCGCTGCGCCACCGGGGAGGCCCTCCAGTGTGGTTCTAACTTGGTCTACTTCCTCATAATGATGATCTACAAACCACGGACCTAATTAGGATTGTTCTATCCACACAATGATTGCGGTAACACATGGAGGTGCTGTATGTTATCATCTGAGGTCTTTTAGCAACTATTCGGATTTGGTCCATGAGGTCTTTCTCAGAAAATTGGGCTGAGATACTGAAGAGTTGGTTGAGAGCTGAGCCAATCAATTATAGCCCCTAAGGGATATTCAAAGAGGACAGATGCAGTAGCTTTATGGTCTTGTTTATTAACTGACATCATAAAAATGTTGATTCTCAGTTTCACACTTGCTTTTATTTTCCTTTGATCCAACAACTCCAATCAGGATGCCACATGCAACACGATAAATTGATGCAATTTCTGCAACTGTAAACTCAGGCAGTTGTTTTTAGGATGGAGTGACATAAGGTCTGGTAACAATTATCTTTGGGTTTCCTTCCTTGAAGATCCTTACTCCTGTCCTTTCTGGGAACTACCATCCCCTGAAAACATGATGAAGGTCTATAGTCATGAAACACAAGAATACTAGCCCAGGGGTGACCTTTTTGAACTTCACATTCCACTGGCCATTTAACATGGACTTTGCACTGCTTTCAAAGTCTTTGATGCATCCTACATCAGAAGACTCATTCTTAGCTATCCTGGGAAATCCTCTAACTTTGCCAAATGTGTTAAGAATCCTTCTTGATCTTCCATTTGTCCATGTATGCCAGTGTTTGCCTAGTTCCTCACTGTGGCTGGTTCCTGGCTGTAACTTTAAAAAACACTAGTTAATCAAAGCTTGCAGTAGAAAAAAATTCTAATCACATACATGCCTTGCTTGTCATTCTAGTTCCTTTACCCATTCATTAAATAATATAAATTTATTATGTGGCCAGGAATTACTAGAATACAGGTCCTGGGATTATAATGTTGAACAAACCCTTATGGAGGTAACATTCCACTACAGAGAAGGCCATACAAATTAAAACAATAAGAGCTATGAATAAAAATGTAAAGTAAAGCATCGGTGATGGGCACAGAGAATGGCTATTTTAAGATAAAATAGTCATGTTTTCTGAGATCACATCTTAGTAAAATGTGAACAAAGTGAAGAGTTAGTCCTGTGACAATCTAGAGAGGCATTCTCTAAGCAAAAGGAACAAGACTGAAGTCTGAGAGAGAAAACCAACTTGACTACTCTGTAAAATAGCAGATACAACATGAACTACAGCTTTAGCATTAATTATTAACAGTCAAAATAAAGTGATACATGCTTTATCAATCCCCAAACTAAGCTCCATGGGACCAGGAAACAATTTTTTTGCATTATCTTTGTATTCAATTCTCCAAACCCTAAAATATTTGAAGGACCCTACCAATAGCTAATAATACCACACAATTAAATGTCAGAGGTGGCCAATTATCAGAAAAGGAAATCAATGCAACAGTCAACTAAGGAACTTGTATATCAAATCTAGTTTGAGACTAAAAATGGATATTATAAATTTATTATAAAATTCCAAACTAGCAAAGGAAAGTCACATCAATAACAGCAACAGGTGTAATAACTATTAAAAGACCTATAGACTACACACACTTCCAATCAAAAGCTCCACAGACTGCATGTCAGTTATATTTAGAAATGTGAGGGCAGGACCTCCCAGGTGGTGTAAGGGGTTAAGACTCAGCACTAGGTCTGTTAAGTCTGTTAAGTCTCAGCCACTGCAGCACTGGAGTTCATGGCACAGCAGACCTTTCCTCTCTTATCAGCAGACCTCTCTCCTCTCTTGCCCCAATCTGCCTGTTCTGCTCCCCACTCTCTCTGGTGAATCTTCTCATTCCCTCCCCCCGATACCTCTGGTCTATACGCCGGTTCTTGTAGGCATAAATAAAATAAATCTTTAAAAAAAAAAAAGAAAGAAAGAAAAAGAAATTGAGGACAGGAGAGAAAGGGAAGCCCAGCAGAACTTCTAATTAAAATTAAGGATCCACAAATTGCTAATTTAGCCAAAACAAATATGAAAAAAGAATACAAATTGGTACCACACAATCTCAATGCTTAAGGCAAATGAAGAAAATGCAGAGTTACAGATCTGAGGCATACAGCATGGGAGGAGGAGGAGAAGGGTAGGGAAGAGCACAAGGGACTATGGTGCTGGTTCCTGGGTAATGTGGAGGGAGACTTATGTTGATAAACTACAAAAAAAAAAGTGCAGTGCAGTGTCAATATACTGATCAATGAAAAGAGTGTAGATTTTTTTTCAGGGTTTTTATAAAGGTGCAAAGATATAATGGAGAAATGATAACCTCCAACTAATTATGCTAGAATAAATGGTAACTGCATAAAAAATTGTTACTTCACATCAAACTCAAAATGTGATACAGCTATAAATAAAAAAGATGTGAAACTCAAGAAAACATGAGAGAGTTTGCAACCTTAGGAAAGGCCAGTATTGCATACAAGGATACCAAAAACACAAAACAAAGAAAAATTAGAAGAACACTATTAAGGAAATTTAAAAGTCCCAGATTAGGAACAGTATGAGTTAATACAGATCTGAAACTTCATTGATTCATCAAGACAAACCATTCAATTACAAACCTGGCAGAGAAGTTCAATAGGTACTTCACAAAAGATATAAAAAATACTGGCACAAGAAAAGATGCTCATCTTTAGTCCCTAGGAAAACAAAATTTAACCTACGAGAATCTTAAAAACTGAAAATACCAAATGTTGGTGAGGATATGGAGCAATCAGAAATCTCATTCACCGCTGATAGGAAGGTACGATGGTATAATCAATGAAAAATAAAGTTCGGCGATTTCTTATATAGTTGAACATACAGCCACTTACTACTAAAAATTACCCAAGCCACATGAAAGTACAATGTTCACAAGAAGCTTTACACACAAAATTTCATAATGGTATTATTCAGTAGGTCAGTAGAGGCAACTCTAAGTCCCATCGATAAACCACTAGACAAACTGGTTAAATCCATGTAAAAGAATACAACTCAGGGGCCTCCCCGGTGGCACAGCGGATGAGCACTGGGTTGCGAAGCTGCCCACAGCCTCTGCAGCGCCGGTTCGATCCCCGACTGCTCCCCGGCCACTGGAGGAGGGTCCCACATGGCGCGCAGACCTCTTCTGCCGCCTGCTGCTCCCCTCAGCAGTGTACTTCAGTCCTTCTGCCTGCTCTGCTCCCTGCTCTGGCTCTGGTGAATTCTCTCACCCTCCCACGCTTCTGACTATACCCAGTGCTTGTATAAATAAATAAATTAGTTAAAAAAAAAAAGAATACAACTCAGCCATTAAATGGAACAAAATACTGATATGATAGATGAAATCTCATGAACATTATGCAAAAGAAACATAATTTTATTCATATGAAAAACTGAAAAAACAAAACTAAACTACTTTATACCAACAGAAAGAACAAGAGCGATCTAGGGGCCTCCCCGGTGGCGCAGCGGTTGAGCGCTGGATTGCGAAGCTGCGCGCGGCCTCTGCGGCGCCGGTTCGATCCCCGGCTGCTCCCCGGCCACCAGAGGAGGGTCCCACATGGCGCGCAGACCTCTCCTGCCGCCCGCTGCTCCCCTCAGCAGTGTACTTCGGTCCTTCTGCCTGCTCTGCTCCCCGCTCTGGCTCTGGTGAATTCTCTCGCCCTCCCGCGCTTCTGACTGTACCCAGTGCATGTATAAACAAAACAAACAAACAAACAAACCAGCAAACAAATAAATAAAGCATGCCTCTATAAAAAAAAAAAAAAAAAAAGAGCGATCTAGGACAGGGACAAAGGATGGGGAATATCTCTGGGATATCTTTGGGATGATGCAAATGTTGTCTATCTTGACTATGGTGAAAAGTTAGATGACTATATTCATTAAAGCTCACAACACCGAGCTCAGTATTTAAAGTTGGGTGTTATTTTAATGTATATATTATACCTCAGCAGAGATGATTAAAATACCGTTCAATACAAAATTATGCTTTGCAAACAAAAGATGGTAAGTTGAATGAAAATCACAGTAAGAAACATCCCTAAAATTCAAGAATGAATCAATATACTCAAGTTTGGAAACCTGACTTCTGATTCCTAGAGGTACACAAAAATTTGTCATTTATAGTCACTCAGTATTTACTCAACATCTACTTACCATATGTCAACTGTACGAACTACAAGGAAAGACAGAATTCCAAAACAGAAATATGTAAATGATAGAATGACAAGATGTTTAAAACTTACGTTGTTAACAAGAATGCCCCATCACCACATCTTTCCAGAGCCTTTCTTGCAGGAGGTTTTGCTGCAAATTCTACAAAACCTTTTCCTGTGGCTCTACCACGATCATCCACAACCACAACAGCTTTCTCTACAGGACCAAACTGGGAAAATGCTTGCTCCAGAAGCTCATTGGAAACAACCGGAGAAAGGTTCTTGACAGTAAGGGCTGCTCCATGTGTAGCAAAACGAATTCGGAGAGGTCTGCTCTTCAAAATGGTGCCATCCAGCTCTGCTTTTGCAATTTCAGCCAGTGTTCTGGATTCCTTTTTAGGAGGAAAAATAAATTTTAAAACATAATAGTAACAGGGCCTCTCCCTGGTGGTGCAAGGGGGTAAGACACAACCTATGAAGTAGTCCGCAGCCTCTGCAGCACAAGTTTGATCCCCAGCTTGGCCAGGGAGCAACCCACATGGGGCAGCTGACCTCTCCTGTCTCGCCTGCTGCTCCCCTCAGCAGTGTACTTCAGCGAGTCTGCTTGTTCTGTTCCCCACTCTGTCTCTAGTGAATCCTCCCCACCCCCGACCTCTGGCCTGCACCCCAGCTCTTATATGAGTAAATAAATAAATCTTTTTAAAAAACATACTAGGGCCTCCCCTGGTGGCGCTGGTGGTTGAGCGCCGCACAGTGAAGTTGTCCACAGCCTCTGCAGCACCGGATCAATCCCGGCCCGCCGGGGAGGGACCCACATAGTGCGGCAGACCTCTCCTGTCTTGCCCGCTGCTCCCCTCAGCAGTGTATTTCATCAGTCTGCCTGTTCTGTTCCCCGCTCTGTCTCTGGTGAATCCTCTCACCCTCCCGCGCATCTGGCCTGTACCCCAGTTCTTGTATAAATAAGTAAATCTTTAACAAAAAAATAAATAATAGTAACAGAAAAACACTTAAAACAGTATTATGTTTCTTTTTTTTTTTAACACTACTGAGGCTAGCAGCAGGCAAGGCAGGAGAGGTCTGCATGCCATGTTGGTTTCTCCCTGGCAGGCTGGGAATCGAACCTGCACTGCAGAGGCTGCGGACAGCTTCAAAGGGCAGCGCTTAACCCTCTGCACCACCGGGGAGGCCCAACAGTGCTATGTTTCTAAGGAGCAGAGTTGGCTAACTTTAGGAAATGGCTAACAGGGTCATTTTGTGTCTTTCAGTTTTGTTAGCAAAACTGCATTTTATTAATTGTTCAGCGATAAATAAGTTTAAACATTTTAAGTAGAAAGTCCTAAGCCCACTGTCCTATTAAAAGTCATGACGGGCCTCCCCGGTGGCGCAGCGGTTGAGCACTGGGTTGCGAAGCTGCCCGCAGCCTCTGCAGCACCGGTTCAATCCCTGGCTGCTCCCCGGCCACCGGAGGAGGGTCCCACATGGTGCGCAGACCTCTCCTGCCACCCGCTGCTCCCCTCAGCAGTGTACTTTGGTCCTTCTGCCTGCTCTGCTCCCCGCTCTGGCTCTGGTGAATTCTCTCACCCTCCTGCACTTCTAACTGTGCCCAGTGCTTATATAAATAAATAAATAAGTAAATAAATAAATAAATAAATAAATAAATAAATAAATCTTTAAAAAAAAAATAAAAGTCATGACATGGGGGCCTCCCTGGTGGCGCAAGGAGTTAAGCACAGCACTATGAAGCTAACTGCTGTGACTGTAGCACATTCAATCCCCAGCTAGCCAGGGCGCTACCCGCTACCTCAGCAGACCTCTCCTGACTTGCCCACTGCTCCCCTCAACAGTGTACTTCAGTCAGTCTGCCTGTTCTGTTCCCCACTCTGTCTCAGGTGAATCCTCTTACCCCACCCCACACCTCTGGCCTGTATCCCACTTCTTCCATGCATAACTAAATCTCTGAAACAAAAAGTCATCACAAAGATACCTGTTCATTAACCAATTACCACCTATGAAATATTCACAGCAGCATCATCTTTAAAATCGTCAACATATGGACTTAAAATCTTATATCTTCAACATATGGACCTCCCTGGTGGCACATCATTATGAAGCTATCTGCAGCCTCTGCAACACCAGTTTGAGATCCTGCCAGGGAGCTACCGAAATGGCGCAGCAGACCTCTCCTGACTTGCCAGCTACTCCCCTCATCAGTATACTTCAGTCAATCTGCCTGTTCTGTTCCCCACTGCCTCTGGTGAATCTTCTCACGGGGATACTTTTGGCCTGTACTCCAGTTCTTGCATGCATAATAAATCTTAAAAAAAAAAAAACAAAAAACCCACAACTTTAGGGGCCTCCCTGGTGGCACCTTGAAGGTATCCACAGCCACTGCAGTAAGAGTTCAATTTACTGCCAGGGAGGTGACCACAAGGCGCAGCAAACCTCTGCTGCCTAGTCTGCTGCTCCCCTCAGCAGTGTATTTCAGTCAATCCGCCTGTTCTGTTCCCCACTGCCTCTGGTGAATCCTCTAAACCCCCCCCCACCTCTGGCCTGTACCCCAGTTCTTTATGCATAAATCGTTAAAAAAAAAAAACTTTGAATTACTGCCTTAGGTAAATATTTACAGAACTCATTTTACAAAGACAAATGAACCTTAAGTATACACAAAATGTGCGTTTTATTACTCTTAACTGTACCAGAAAACATTTAATATTAAATGAATATCTAACAATGAACAGATACTTTGTACCTAATTGTTCCCATACTCCAACACTGAGACACAAATTTTAGGAATGGAGTTTTGAATTCAAATACTGTTCAGTATGATGAGGAATGAGAAAGGATTTGAGAAACCTTCACGAAGGGACAATAATATTCCGTATCTTGGTATGATTTTTAGATTAACAGATGTATGCATTTGTCTGAAATCATCAAGCACTACACTTTTAATATGTATATAGATTACAAATAACCTAAAAAAATTTGTACTCTAGTTACTGTAAGAACACCAGAATGGGGCCTCCCCTGGTGGCGCAGGCGGTTGAGCGCAGTGCTGTGAAGCTGTCCACAGCCTCTGCAGCGCCAGTTCAATCCTGGCGAGGGTCCCACATGGCTCAGCAGACCTCTCCTGTAGCGCCCGCTGCTCCCCTCAGTTGTGTATTTCATCAGTCTGCCTGTTCTGTTTCCCACTCTGTCTCTGGTGAATCCTCTCACCCTCCCACGAATCTGGCCTGTACCCTGGTTCTTGTATAAATAAATAAATATCTCTTTAAAAAAAAAAAAAAAGAATGTCAAAATGTTTGTCATGGACTGATGAACAGGGATGAACAGATATGTGAAAAAAACATACAGAGCAAAATTTAATTATATAATATGGGTGCCATAATAAAATGCTTGGGAGGATGGAGACAGATAAGCTTGATCAGGACTTTGTAAAAGTTAAGATTATTTCTAAAGTACATCTTCCATTCAGTCAGAAACAGTCACATCACATACTGCCACCCCCCCAAACAAGAAATCTCAATTTTTTTGTTGTTAAATCAGCAATTTTTTTAAACTGATGGCAATGAATTTAATTTTTACTACCTTTTTTTGGCCAAATATAATGCTAACATTATATTTTAATGTCATAATCCTTTTTCAAAGCTTATACTCTTCATGGTTTTTAAGAGTTCTAAATCAGGGTTTGTGAATCACAGCACTACTGCTATTATGAGTAAGATTGTTTGGGGGGAGGAGGTTGTTCTGTGCACTGTAGTTTGTATAAAAGTAGAAAAAAAAATCCTGCATTTTTGACAACCAAAAATATCTCCAGACATTATTAAATTGCCCTGGAAAGCAAAATCACCTCATTTGAGAATCACTGCTGTAGATACACATACAGAAGTGTGTCTGTACTTCAATTTTTAAAATCAGTTAAAATTATGTATTTGACATGAAACCGAAGATTTCTTTACTTCATACCTCAGAATAATATATCTTTGTTACCAAGAAATTGCTATATGCCAGGGCCTCCCCTGGTGGTGCAGTGGTTGAATGCTGGGCTGCGAAGCTGCCCACGGCCTCTGCAGCACCGGTTTGATCCCCGGCCGCCAGCGAGGGTCCCACATGGCGCAAAGACCTCTCCTGCTGTGCCCGCTGCTCCCCTCAGCAGTGTACTTCATCAGTCTGCCTGTTCTTTCCCTGCTCTGGATCTGGTGAATTGTCTCACCCTCCCGCACTTCTGACTGTACCCAGTGCTTGTATAAATAAATAAATAAATCTTAAAAAAATGAATTGCTATATGCCAGCCATTCATTACCATATCATATGCATTATCTTTCATTTTCTTCACCACCTATCTCATGGTCAGTTATGCCACTATCTTCACCTCAGAAGAGAAATGTTCTGGTGAGGTTGAACAGAGAAATGTTCTGGAGAGGTTGAATAACTTGCCCAAAGTCACAACACAATTGCTGATACGAATCTATACATATTTCACAATCTCTTCCCAATACACCATAATCCTGCTTCCCAACTAGTATCCCTGCATTATTGGGCACACAAGAGAGTAAAACTGTATGTTCTGAACTGAAAAGAATTTAAAAAAAAAAAAAGAAGAAAAATGAGTAGCCCAGATAGAAACTGCTGTAACTAGGATTTAATGATTTCCATTGAGCCCTTTCCAAATGAGCACAGCTTTTCTTTCATTGTTAATAGTTTATGATTTCCCACTGATGAGTACTAAGTTAATAAAGAAAAGGAAATCCACTGATTAGAAATGGAAATTGCCTTCAAGTCAATGAAAAGAAAGTTGTTTAAGTAACACCTAGCTTCATACTATGAAATACAGTATGGTCATTATGGAGAATCTAATGACATAAAAACATGTTAAAGATATATTAAGTGAAAAACTCAAATCACAATAGTTATAAAGTATGGTTTAGGGCCTCCCCGGTGGCACAGCGGTTGAGCGCTGGGTTGCGAACCTGCCCGCAGCCTCTGCGGCGCTGGTTCGATCCCCGGCTGTTCCCCAGCCACCAGAGGAGGGTCCCGCATGGCGTGCAGACCTCTCCTGCCGCCCGCTGCTCCCCTCAGCAGTGTACTTCGGTCCTTCTGCCTGCTCTGCTCCCCGCTCTGGTGAACTCTCTCACCCTCCCGCGCTTTCTGACTGTACCCAGTGCATGTATAAACAAAACAAACAAACAAATAAATAAACATGCCTCTATAAAAAAAATTAAAAAAAAAAGTATGGTTTAATTAAAGATTTATTTATTTATGCATACAAGTACTGGAGTGTAAGCCAGAGGTGCGGGAGGTGAGAGGATTCACCAGTGGGGAGCACAACAGGCATATCTTCTGAAATACACTGCTGAGGGGAGCAGTGGGCAAGACAGGAGAGGTCTGCTGTGCCTTGTGGGTTAGCTCCCTGGTCTGCACAGGATCGAACTCTTACTGCAGTAGCTGGCAGTAGCACTGTGTCTTTAAACCATATACTATCAGGGAGGCCCAAAGTATGGTTTTATTTTTGAAGAAAATTACGTAAAGGTTAAATGGTGATCATGTTTATTAGTAAGAGTATAAAGGGATGAAGATCTTTTGATAATGTTTAAATTATAACTTAAAAGAATCCTGAAATAAAAGACAACTTCAAACTATATGTTGGACAAGTCCAGGATACATTCCGCAATGTCTTCTCCATTACTTCAGCCTTCTACAAAAGAGCAAGGGGAAGAGCCTTAGTCTCTAATGATAAATAAAAGTAAATTCATTTCACTTTTAATTCTTTAATTAGAACAGAAGTTCTCAAACTTTAGCCAAGTATTAAGATAACAAAAAGGGCTGGTTAAAAACCAGATTGTGGATCTCCCTGATGGCCTAAGGGTTAAGTTTCAGCACTTATTACCTGGAGGGCCTGAGTTCAAATCCTATCGGGGAGCTAACCCACACATGGCACAGCAGACCTCTCCTCTCTTGATCACTGCTCCCCTTAGCAGTGTATTTCACTAAATCCACCTATTCTGCTCCCTACTCCAACGAAGACTCTCACCACCCACACCTCTGGCCTACACCCCAATTCTTCTTCCAAAAAAATAAATTTTAGAGCCTCCCTGGTGGCGCAGGTGGTTGAGCGCCGCACTGTGAAGCTGTCTGCAGCCTCTGCAGCAGGGGTTTGATTCCCACTGACCGGCGAGAATCCCACATGGCGAAGCAGACCTCTCCTGCCGCTGCTCCCCTCAGCAGTGTATTTCGTTAGTCTGCCTGTTCTATTCCCCGCTCTGTCTCTGGTGAATCCTCTCACTCGCCTGCACATCTGGCCTGTACCCCGGTTCTTGTATAAATAAATAAATCTTTAAAAATAAATAATTTTTTGAAAAATTCTTTAAGGGGCCTCCCTGGTAGCCCAAGGGGTTAAGTGTCAGCACTGAAGCTATCAGCAGCCACTGCAGCAAGTGTTCATTCCCCTGGCAGCCAGGGAGCTACGCACATGGTGCAGCAGACCTCTCCTGTCTTGCCCACTGTTGCCCTCAGCAGTGTATTTCAGTGAGTCTGCCTGTTCTGCTCCCCACTCTGTTTCGGGCAACTCCTCTCACCACCCACACTTTTGGCCTACACCCCAGCTCCTGCATGCAAATAAAAATAAATCTTTTTTTTTTTTTTTTTTTTTTTTTATAGAGGCATGCTTTATTTATTTGTTTGCTGGTTTGTTTGTTTGTTTTTTTGTTTATACATGCACTGGGTACAGTCAGAAGCGGCGGGAGGGTGAGAGAACTCACCAGAGCCAGAGCGGGGAGCAGAGCAGGCAGAAGGACCGAAGTACACTGCTGAGGGGAGCAGCGGGCGGCAGGAGAGGTCTGCACGCCATGTGGGACCCTCCTCTGGTGGCCGGGGAGCAGCCGGGGATCGAACCGGCGCCGCAGAGGCCGCGGGCAGCTTCGCAACCCAGCGCTCAACCGCTGCGCCACCGGGGAGGCCCCTAAAAATAAATCTTAAAAAATAAAACATGCAAGGCCTCCCCAGTGGCGCAGGGCTGTTTAGTTGTCCGTTGTCCGCAGCGCTGGTTTGCCAGTTCGATTCCCGTCCAGCCTGGGGATTCCCACATGGCGCCACTGTCTCGCCCGCAGCTCCCCTCAGCAGTGTATTGCAGTCCTTCTGCCTGTTCTGCTCCCTGCTCTGTCTCTAATGAATTCTCTCACCCTCCAGTGCCTCTGGCCTGTACCCCAGTGCTTACATAAATAGATAAATCTTAAAACAGAAAACACGCAAACCACAAAAACAAGAAACAACATTTAAAAATAAAACAAAATTCAACTCCTCAGTCACACTCGTCAACATTTCAAGTTCCAACAGTGATTTAAGGGACTAGTGCCTACCATTTGGGACACAGATACACACATTTTCAGCAATGCAGTACACTGGACAGCACTAACAGTACACTAAAGAGTTAACTATTATTGGGGCTTTGACACTAGGAAGGGGGAAAGAAGGGCAAAGGATTTTTCTGTGTCAGTATTTTATTGGCATCTTTTTAAGCATTAAGGCGTCTAAAACAGAAGAGATACACAGCCCAACTATTCTTCCTTCATCAATTGAATTTCAGAATAACTAAGATAATCTAAGTAGCTAATGATAAAAATGGTAGTCTCTTTTTGCAAAATTTACTAAAAGTTACCTATAATACTTAATTGTAGATATCTAACTTCCTTTACGATAACTTTTGGGTTTATATTAAAAATGACTATCAAATAACAGGCTGTTTTGCTAATGTCCCAAAAATAGTTAAATGTTTGCTAGGCTCAAAATGCCCCTATTACTTATGGGGCGTTTGAATAAAATTTGTATCTCATTAATCTGTAAAGCTTTTCTCTTTTCTTGAAGTCATTCAGATGCTGAAATACTGTCATAGCGTCATTTAAATTAAAATCAGTTTTCTCTTCATATTAAAATTTTGCCTTGCCCACTCACGTAGGGAACCGAATTTTGAAAGCTAAAATTCCAATAAAAGCTCCTGAAAACTGCAACAAAGGTAAAAACTGCGGGTCAAACTAGAAAAACAACAAACACACACACACAAAAAAAAAAACCAAGCGTTTCGTAAAAAAGTCCCCTTGAAAAAAGGTATCTATCTTCTTGGTTTTAAAAAACAAAACCCATTATCCGAACAAAAATCACAACAATGCAGTGTGACTGGCACTGCTGACGGGTTCCCCACTTCCCCCCAGCAAGCAGGAAAGCCTAAGGTGTTTTGGCCTTCAATGTAAACGTTCATTTTCAAGTTCTTTTAAAAACAAAGACCAAAGGCCTCCTAGGTAGCACAAGGGGGCTAAGCATAGCGCAACTCTGCAGCACGAATTCGATCCCCGGCGCCGGCCGGGGAGCTACCACATGGCGCAGCAGACCGCTCCTGTCTTGCCCACTGCTCGCCTCAGCAGTGTATTTAAGTATATCTGACTGTTCTGCTCCCCACTGTCTCTGGTGAATCCTCTCACAACCCCCACGCACACACACCCCTCTGTCCTGTACCCCAGTTCTTGTATGCATAAATAAATCCTTAAAAAAATAAAAACAAAGACCAAGGTTTGCGTGTTATGGGGAAACGTACTATTCCGGAATGTAATAGTCCATAATTCATCTTTCCCTCTAAAAAAGACGTGGAACCCTCCAGAAGCACGCCTGGGAGGCGAGAACACAGCAGACACACAATTCAACGTCGTCCCCCACTGCCTGGCAGAGGAAGCAGGGCGGAGAGGAGCGGGGCCGCGGTTCAAGCCAAAGGCGCGAGGGCAGGAAGCTACGGACACGATCCGGATACTTGTATCCGCCTAGGGGAATTCTGGCAGGACCCACGTCTCCGTTTCAATCCGTCAGCTTTCCTCACTACACGATGGGGGGACCTCTCCCCAAACGCGGCTGCGCACCCAGACCCTTCCCGGCGCCGGCAGCGACCGCCTTCCCGGCAGAGCCCAACGCGCCGACCAGAGCCCGGGTCCGGGACGCCCGCTACCGGGGCGCCGCGCCGCCGCCAGGGGGGAGACGACCAGCTCCGCGGGAAGGCGGGCCGGAGGCGCTGCGACCCTCACATCACAGGCCAGAGAGGCGGCCGGGACCGGCGCTCCCTCCCGCGACGCGGCGCCCGCCCCAGCCCACACACGGAGCCCCGCACTCACCAAGCGAATGAAGCCGAAGCCGCGGTCCCGGTTGATGAAGACCTCGCTGGGCTCGCCATAGCGCTCGAAGAGCCTTTTGAAGTCCTCCTCGGTGATGTCCGTGGGCAGGTTCCCCACAAAGAGGCGGCAGCGCTGGGTGTACGTCTTCTCGCCCGGCTTGAGGAAGCTCTTGATGTCTATAGTAAAGCCCATCTCCTCGTCCGGGTGGTCCTCCGGGGGCGCGGGGCCGGCGGGCGCAGACTCACCGGCCAGCGCGAGCGCCATGGCGCCTGCCGGCTCGCTGTCGCCCACCGCGGACTCGAGAGCGCGAAGGCGGGCCGGGTTTTTCTCAATGCGTACTTGCTTCAGGTTTCCTCTCAGCATCATCTTACCGAATTCGCTTCGATAACTAACGGGCCCCTAGGCCTGGGTCTATATCCCGAGCTACACCTCTTGAAAGGAAATGAGGATAGGTAGGTCTCGAGCCAGCAGCGCCGCCACACCACACTCACGCCCGCGGCGGCTGCACGTTCAAAATGGCGCCGCCGCCAGCCGCAGTTAGACGCCGAGAAGCCGCATGTAAGCCCCGCCCCTCCGAAAAGGCCCGGAAGGGAGTAACGCGCGTGCGCATTTGCGGCGCCAACGGCCCACCCCTTCCTAGCCAGCGCATGCGCACAAGGTAAAAAGCGTTACCGTCCTATCTGCTTAGTTTCCCAAGCATCTAAAACAGGAGCCGCTTGGTTGTGCTTATGGAGAAAATTGTGTGATGTATGTAGCAGCGTGTGAAGGTCCATGATTTGGAGGAACATTCAGACAGTTAAATAGCTCAATGTTCAATGACTATGGAAAAGTGGAAACTTGAAAATTTTATCCATAGCGTTTAATGACAAGATATTTCCCAGTAACTGAAATAATTAAAGCATTTGTTTTTGCTCGTTTTCATGTGGTGTTTGGAGTTTGGAGTTTTTAGGTTCACTCTGGGAAAGGTTTCACCAGAGCTCCCCTTTCAGGGGCACTCAGAGAGTTTCCCAGGCAAGTTTCTCCACCAAGCAGAGACCTTACATTTAAAGAGCAGGTTTATTAGGGAAAGGGACAGAAGAATAAAGGACACTTGCATAGACACAAGTGGGCAGGAAGAGCTGTCCTGAAAGGGACAGGCTTGCTAAGAGAGGCCTGCATGGTTGCAGGCGGGCGACCTTGAGGAGAGCTGCCTCTGCTGAGGGAGGTCAGTGAAGAGAAGTTCCAGCATGGAACAGGTCACGGCCAGGCAGGAAGGCTAGTGCCCTGCAGAGGGAGAGAGTTGGTGAAAAGAAGCACCTGCATAGTCACAGATGGACAGAGGGAATGCTGTCCCCAGCCACTGCAAAGACTACACTAATACAGTCTTCTCTTTGGGAGGGCCTCACTCCTAGTGAGCCTTCAGGTTAGTTGCTGATTTGGGGTAACTATGCAGAATCTGAAAGGGACCATGGACTCAATCTCCATATCTTTACCTTTGGGGTCTGTTGGGCACAATCTCCACATCTTTACCATTGGGCCTATGCTCTAGACACTCCCTACAGCAGTCTGATACCTGCTTGGATCTTATGCTTTGTAATCTAGGCATTGGCACCTAAGGATCTTGGGTTCCATAGCTGTGTCGATGGCTATGCTAATCTCTTCTACCCCCACCTCCTTGTGTGAGCTAGGTTTCTGGTCTTGTTGCGCCTCCTTTTCAGTTTTTTTCTATTCCTGTCCTCCATTATTCTCAAGAGCAAGGTGTTTATTATATTTCCTAATGAAATAATCCAATTATATAAAATGTACTGTTGACCTCAGAGAAGGACTCCATGAAATTCCTTATGAAAGTAGTATTGTTACTGAGCAACCCTGATATGAAATGGGTTGTCTGACTATGGATCCTCACCCGCATGCTTAAAAGGGACTTATTAATATTCAACTGCAGGCACACACAAAAGGCTAATAAAGGGTTTATTTACAAAAGAAGGGGAAATGAAGAAATGAGTAACTCAGGGAGAAAAAGAGGGAGATAAATTTGTAAATGCATCCTACCAGTTTCGCTGACCTGGAATCCCAATAGCACCCTGAGAGCTGGCAAAAAAGCCAAGAGCTCTGAGGCAGAGAGAGAGAGAGAGAGACACCCCCAAGCCCTACATGTCTGGTTTTATACCAAACCTGGCTGCTTACTTAACTCCACCTTCAGGTCCCAGCAACCCTCCCGTTGGTCATGATGGAATTTGTAGTTCCCAGTGTCTTGATGGCTTTGGTCTAGATTAGGGGTGGAGTCTACAAAACCTCTATGGAGTTTGCTCAGGACATCCTTTCCCCCTAACAACATTACAACCTGACCACGATTCCCAGGAACCATAGTTTATGACAAGGGTCAATAAACAATTTTTTCTAAAGGTCCAAATATTTTAAGATTTGCAAGCCATAGGGTATCTACCAAATTACTCAATTTCGCCCAGGTTCCTTGAACAAAATGGGTGTGCATGAGTGCAAAATGAAATTAAATCACACTGCAAAAAAAATCAGCAGTTTCGGGCCTCCCTGGTGGCACAAGGGGTTAAGACGCAACCTATGAAGCTATCTGCAGCTACTGCAGCAGGAGTTCGATCCCCGGCCAGGGAGCAACCCACATGGCACAGCAGACCTCTCCTGACTCACCTGCTGCTCCCCTCAGCAATATATTTCAGTCATTCTGCCTGTTCTGTTCTCCACTCTGTCTCTGGTGAATCCTCTAACCTCCCGGATCTCTGGCCTGTACCCCAGTTCTTATATGAATAAATAATCTTTTTAAAAAAATGAGCAGTTTCTCATGTCCTTTGATTTGTAAAGGATTTGTCAAGGAAAAAGACACCTGTCCCCCACCATGTTCAACTAGTGAATGGATGAACAATGGTACATTTAGGGGCCTCCCTGGTGGCACAAGGGGTTAAGCACAGCACTATGAAGCTATCCACAGCCTCTGCAGCATGAGTTCAATCCCCAGGCTGGCCAGGGAGCTACTCACATGACTCAGCAGACTTCTCCTGACTCGCCCGCTGCTCCCCTCAGCAGTGTATTTTAGTCAATCCACCTGTTCTGTTCCCCACTGTCTCGTGAATCCGCTCACTCACCCACCCTCACATCTCGGGCATATACCCCAGTTCTTGTATGCATAAATAAATAAAATCTTTGGGAAAAAAACAACAGTGGTATGTTCATATAAAAGAACTTACTCCGCAATAAAAAGGAATAAACTATGACTTAACAACTTGACTCAAAAGGCTGCATGCTGTATATATAACCTTCTAGAAGAAGATTAACTACAAGTATAGAACATAGATCAGTGGTTGCCAGGAGCTGAAAGGGTAGGAAGATAGGAAGGGACTTGACTACATAAAAATTTCTGGAATGATAGAATATATCTGGATCATGGTGGTGAAGAGGTGGTTGGAGTTAGTGGATTTGGAGTGCAGGTTCCTTGGGTTCACTCTGGGAAAGGTGTCACCAGAACTCTCATTTCAGCGACACACACTGAGTTCCCCAGGCAAGTTTTTCCACAAGTCAGAGACATTAGTTATATTTAAAGAGCAGGTTAATTAGGGAAAGAGAGGAATAAAGGAAACTTGCATAGACACAAGCGGGCAGGAAGAGCTGCCCTGAAAGAGACAGGTTTGCTGAGAGAGGCCCGCATGGTTACAGGCTGGCGGCCTTGAGGAGAGCTACCTCTGCTGAGGGAGGTCAGTGAAGGGAAGGCCCAGCCAGTACAGGTCATAGGCAGGCAGGAAGCTGCTGCTCTGTGGAGGGAGAGAGTTGGTGAAAAGAAGCACCTGCATAGTCACAGGTGGGCAGACGGAGTGCTGCCCCATTGTGGGCGCAGCGTTAGGTTTTATCATCTTCAGGGAGGGCTCATTTTTGTGGGTGGATGGTTTGTGCCCCTGTAGCAGTCTGATAGTTTCTGGATGTTGCGCCTCCTGATCTAGGTGTTGTTGGCTAAGAGTCTTGGTTTTTATAGCTGTTGCAGAGCAACCCCAATATAAAACGGGTTGCCTAACTGTGGGTCCTCACCCGCGCACTTAAAGGGGACTTATTAATGTTAAACTGCAGACACACAAAAAAGGTTGATAAAAGGTTTATTTACAAGGGAAGGGGAAATGGGGAAATGAATAACTCAGGGAGAAAAAGAGGGAGATAAGTTTGTAAGTGCGTTCTACCTGTTCTGCTGACCGGAATCCCAATGACCCACCAAGCTGGTGAAAAACTGAGCAAGCCACGGGGCCAAGAGAGCAACCCCTGGCCAAAGGGCCAGTTAAATACACAAATAGAGAACACAGTTGCTTAACTCTGCCCTCAGGTCCTCACAACCCTCCCTTTGGTGATCATGGGATTTGTAGTTCCCAGTGTCTTGATAGAGTGGAGGTGGAGTCCACAAAGCCTTTATGGAGTTTTCTCAGGACATCCTTTCCCCCTAACATAACTGGGTTAAGGGATTAAGCTAATCCCTTCTACCCCTACCTCCTTGTGTGAGTTAGATTTTTGACCTTGAATCTTCTTTCCAGTTTTTCTATTCTTATCCTCCATCAGTGGTAGCTACACAATTGTATGTATTTGTTAAAACTAAGTAGGGGCCTCCCTGATGGCACAAGGGGTTAAGTCTCAGAACTATGAAGCTAATCCACAGGGCCTCAGCAGACCTCTCCTGTCTTGCCTAACCTGCTCCTCCCCTCAGCAGTGCATTTCATAGATCTGCCTATTCTGCTCCTCACTCTGTCTCTGATGAATCATCTCACCAACTCTAGGCTACACCCCAGCTCTTGCATACATAAATAAATAAAAATAAATCTTTTAAATAAATAAAAATAAAACTACTAAGTAGGGAGAACTGCACTAAAAGAGTCAAATATTCTGTTATTCAAATTATAACTTCAAAAAAAGTTTAATTTTGTTTAATTGTCTCAGGACTAAACCTTGTTTACCTCAATTACCATTCAAATTCTAATCACCCAGGGCCTCCTGGGTGGCTCAAGGGGTTAGGCACTGCACTGTGAAGCTATCCCCAGTCTCTGCAGCACCAGTTCGATCCCCAGCCGGCCAGGGAACAATCCATATGGCACAGCAGACCTCTCCTGATTCGCCCTCTGCTCCCCTCAGCAGTGGATTTCAGTCCCCTGTTCCCCATTATGTCTCTGGTGAGTCCTCTCTCCGCCCACACCTCTGGCCTGTACCGCAGTTCTTGTATGTATAAGTAAACCTTTATAAAAAATTAACAAATAGCCATAGACACTATCTTCCCTCCCATCACAATGAATGAATTGCCAATAATCCCCTCTAAGACTAAATCAAAGTATACTACTAAGGGATGAATATTTCTTGATATGTACTGAACTGTTCTTGTCTGCAAAACAAACAGCTAATATACCTTCCATCTTTTTCTAAAAAAGGAGGGGCCTCCCTGGTAGCCTACCTGTTAAATCTCAGTGCTACCACTGCATTGGCATGAGTTCCATTCTGGGCCAGGGAGTTAGCTATTCCCTTTAGTAGTGTATTTCAGTAAAACTACCTCTTTTACTGCCCAC